TATGTACTCTAATAGTCACAAGTAGATCAGGACTGAAGACAGATCACTATCGACACAGTTGAATATCTTGTATTCCAGTTAAAATTTTGCGGTTAAGTAAGTTCAAAACAATCATCATTTTATGTGCATACTAATAAATTTCACAACAAATAAGATGATGTTAAGCTTTTGAATGATTGTTTTCCCAAATGTTTTTGAAATAATTCTATAATACTAATTAAATGTTTTGTATGAGTATTCAACTGGCTGCCTACCCAGTTGATTACACTCGATTTTTAAAATAGGTATTTTCGAAGATAATTTTAATATTTGTGTTTCACAAGTTAGCGAGTAGCAGGTTATGAAGATATTCGTAAACATTTTCAACTCCGTTTAAAATGAATAACCAGTGAGATAAAAAAATGAAGAATCAAAAATACAAGTGATTAATTTGACTTTGAAATAACATTTTGTTATTGTGTGAATGTGTTCGGAATTTCGGGACAGAAATATAATGAGTTTTCGCTGAGTTATCATCGAATTCAACAATAAACCAATTTCGAACGATTCATCAAATTAACGTGGAAAGTAGTTGAGTTCTTGTCGTTGTACTTAATAATGGAAGAATCATTGAATGAAAACAACAAATAAAACATAGAATTTTATTTTTCAGGATGAATTTTTAACTTTTCTTGATTGAATTGTCGATAGAGTATGGCATGCAGTTTGTTTGCTTCATTATTTGAAAATATCCAACAATATGATGATTAAAATATGTTGGGAGATATTTATTATGTAACTAAATTTAAAATGAACCAATTTAGGGTCATATGTAACACGCGTAATCAGCAGTCAATGAAGGGCAGAGAGAATCTAAAATCACAACACACTAGGCTAATTCGACACCTCACACCAAGAGAGAACACAAAGTTGTTGTCACGGCACTCTTTTATTTCAAAATCAATAAGCGGATTTTTACAGGAATAGGGTGTGGTAGTGTACCAATGTCTTATGAGTCATCTTGTAGGTTTAGAGCAATCAGGGCTTGCTCTTCAGCTTCCAAAGCATTTGTGTTTGATCACCCTGAAACAGAAAGAAAACAGAAAAATTTAGCAACATCATACATAGTGATTTTGACTCAGTTACACATATCTTTTTAAAACTATTTTACACTAGAGAGTACAATTTGTTGATTACTTAAAACTGAAATTATTTCAATATTAAATATTTTGATAATTACCAAGTGTCTTGTGAAATTTTTAATTAACTGAATGCATCTAGAATGGTAGGGATAATGCAATATGACAAAAGTGAACTCCTTATAAAACAACATATTAAAACAATATTATGAAAAGTGTACATAATATATTTGATAGTAATTTGATTTAAAGTTGTAACATTGAGAAAACGCAGTCATGAAATAATCAAAAATTTATTAAATTGAGCTAATATTTGGCCTTTATCCCAAAAGGGATGACAGACGTAAGTAAGTAATGAGGGGAATGTTAAAATGTGATGAATTAAAATATTGTACAATGAATATCGACCATCATACTAAATCTCTTCTATCATACACCTACGTGATTCGTTCCAGCTAATTTTCGTATTTGTCCAATCACTTATATTTTACTCAGGTGTAACCTCTATATATGCGTAAACGCTAGTACGTTTCTGTCCCTTTAGGCTTATAATACTGAGTTGCATTTTCGCATGGATTTGGCCGCTGCTGCCATATGCATTTCGTTTAAGCTCTTATTGTTCGCATGCAATAACGAATATCTGAAATATATGTTCCGGAAATACTTTTGTATTCAACTTCTTGCATCTACATTGTCAGTGACGAGATTAGAATATAAACGCAGTTAGTAGAGCTTGTATTTCGTCTACATCATTCATATTCCAGCCAAACTGAAGTCAGATCAAAGTGCCTAAACCACTAAACAATTTTCAACAATTAGGAAAGAAGTTAGAAATTTTTTCACAATCACGTTTTACGTGAAATTTTCTTTACAACATGGTCACAAACTTTTGAAACTCAGAAACTACACGAAAACAAGTCTAATTATTTTGAGAAAACATAAATATTCAGCATACATATCATATACTTATCATACATTGCCAGGGGAACTGTACGTTTAAATAATTACAGAAAAGAAGCTTAAGAAAATCACTTCTATATTCTTAATTGGGTCCTCATGAAAACATAGGTTTTCTCCTGAAGTAAAGCTACCTAAATCACTTATGCCGATCACTAAGCAAATGATTTAATCGTTCTCAAGCAGTAGAAAATGTACTCACAATTTAACTTCGAATGGATTTCGAGGTGACGAGTGCTTCATATAGCGTTGGCATAACTAATGGGCTTCAGCAAATGTTTTAAATAGAAAGTCTTTCTAATAATTTTATGATTATTAGGTCACTTTATAGTCTCCTAAATGTGGAGATATACATGGCAGGATATAAATCAGTGACATATCAATATGTTTGAAATCAGCTAAACTAGGATCTGTGATATCGCAAATTAGGATGTATTACCACCGAGGGTCGGTGTGTATAGTTTGGCAGTGGTGGATTGTAGCGCAACACCTAGTTCGTATTACTTGATTTCAGGATTAGTACAGACTCTAAGTAAGCGCCTATTTGACAAGCTGTAGATAATTCCCATCTAAAATTCTTTGGTAAGACAGTATTTCGTGCAGAGGTTTCGCTCGCAAAATTCAAATGTTTAAACGTTTGAAATACCCGAAAACATTTGCTAGGTATATATAAAACTCCGCTTACAAAACTTCGATTTCATACACTGTTAACTTGACGGGACTACAGCTCTTTGGACATATAAGTGTATGAAAATGTCGTGAAATATATTTGCTTAATTTAGGACTACTTCAATTCTAACTACAGAATTTTGAAGCACGAGTGAAGTCAAGATCATATTTGGGTACGCATCACTTACGTTAATGAATCAGTTTAAGCTGCAAAAACATTGACACATCAGTCATTACCGAAATATATTTTCATTGATTTTCGTTCAGATTTGATTGGTTTCGGAAATACTATATAGCAGGAGATTTCCGATGCCAATGTCAGACACTGCCTACTCGCAATGTATTAACGATAGAAAGCTTTGATACATGAGATCTAGTCCTATAAAAGACATTAGAATGACATATGGTCCCTTTTGTAAGTGGCATAAAGCAACGGTAGTGACCGGCGTTTCACGGGATAAACGCGATTTCTTTGATTTCTTACCGTTAACGGGAAATATCCAGTTTCTATTGGCAGACTGGAACCACAAGAAGGGTCAAAAACTAAGTATTACCTTACTGGCATCCAATCATAATAAAGAATGTCTCAAAGGTATTCATACCGTGTCTTGGACCACTGCTCGATTTGTTTGTCTGTCTCGGTTAATTGCTGCTATCTTGGTTGCTTTAACTGAAAAATACGCACACTCATTCACTTGCGATCTCAGCACAGGAAGAAAAGTTTTTGAATTAAATCGGGGTTGATTGATGGGACAGTAAAAAATAACTCTGCATTTTTAAATTCCTCCCAAGATTTATTCTTATACATAATATACTCACTTGCTTCTAAACATTTTCTTTAATCTTATTTACTTCGTCTATCAATTGTCTCACATTCCATCTGATGGTTACTCCATTGAGTAGCAAGTGTGGTAATAACGTTCAGACCAGTGCTTACATTGCGATTGAAGGATGACTAGGAAAGGTTTATATTTAGGAGTGAGGAATATGTAATCGGAATCATACTACAATCTAGATTTCTAATCCAAGTATGACGGGTGATGAAAATAGAAAACTTCCCGTAACTCATACTAACGAGTAGGATGGTTACAATAAAGACAACAAACAATTACTCTTTGCTGGTCGCAACAACTTAATCACTATTCTAAGGTGATTTCCGTGGGTAACTAGTCCTTTGTCGCTTCGAAACTGCAATACTTAAGCAGTAATAAGAATTTATATGGAGCCAAAGCTGCTCCTGGTTCTGGTTCTTATGTCAAAGTATAGGAAATATACTTCAGTGGAACTGACAGAACAGTTACTTAATACCCCAATGAAGCGATAGCTTCAGTATTCATAAGTCTACCCAATTTAATAAACATAAGCATAGCTAAACACGTAACCATGGAAGCCACGACTCTAGCTCATCCATCAATAAAATCAGTAACCTTGCTGGATTTTCCCGCAATTCTATTCAATAAACATTTAGCAAGATGACCTCAGAAGTACGATGAGGTGTTAGTTGCTTAAAAGATCTCTTGTCAACCCACTGTCATACCAAAATGGAGTTACAGGCTCAGTGTTTTTGCTGTTCTGTATTCTATAGATGAATGACATGTAAGAAACATCGGCCTTTGATTTTCAGATGGCTATCGAAGAGGCTAGCTTTCCTCTAAGGACTCTCCGTAGTTTTTCCTTGTTGGTTTGCAAACACATACAATATACCAAACGCAGTGGCGTTGCGCACGCTGGGGGTTCCTGAATGGTTTTCAGCTGCTTAGATGGTATGTTTTTCTCTATTCAAAACAAACCCAGCCCTTCAGTCAGGCTTTGCAGGCATTTGCTAACTGCTGCCACTTGAAGGATGAGGTGAGGAAATGACCGGAGTTCTTGAGTGTTTATCCGTGCATACATCCGCGAAGTTGATCCCTACTTTCTGACACAAGTAAGTTAGTTTAACCAAGTGTCAGGAAATTGGCCACTTTACACAAGCCGCAAATATATTGTATACTTGATAAAACCAGTGGAAAGTGAGTGAAAAGAAGATTGGTAATCGATTTCGCGACCTCTGTATCCGTCTATCATTTCTTATTTTTAATTCTGCAAACGTTGGTAGGAAATAAACGACATCTACATATTGAAAACATTCTTCGTAATTTCACACACAAACCTGTTTATAATACCCGATCTAATATTTCGTCTATCGAGAGTTTGGACAATGAAACTTTTGTTTTACGGCATAGCAACAACAAGCCTTATGTTATTGTGAATATACGAATGAATGACCTGTCTCTGCGTACAAGGGGTTACTTCAAGTACTTAACAAACTGTTCGGCAAACAAGGTATAAATAACCCATATAATTTTAAAAACATTATTGTCCATATTAATAAATCTTTAAATTTTATTCAGCGATAGCCTGACACCTTAATTAATTAATAAATTAATTGTTTAATACTTTCGATACTCTGTAGTAGGATGTTTATACTATGAATAATGCATATCGGATCGTGATATATTTCATTTTTATTGAAAAACCATATGTTACCATTTAACTCTCTGTGTTTTGATTATTTTTTTGTGGCTTGTTTGCTGAGACGTTCAAGGGATGACACACTGACACACTCCTGCGAAGTACAAAGGTATATTTATTCTTACTTACACAGGATATGAGGTTTTTGAGAAACGCATTAGAATTGCGTGAATCGTTAAAAATTCGGCAGCTTACTAAAATATTTTTAGTTTAGTTTATGTGAAACTCAGTAGTTATTAGGTAGATGAATAACTGGAACGTTTGAAGCTAACTTCGATTAAGAAGCACTGTTTGTATCCGGTATTCATGTGGTATCAAAATGTCCAGACTTCAGTGCTAATTACTGGTTATCTAGGAAGACTGTTAAAAGACTGCGTCAAAACTATAAATGGAGGATATAAAGACTCATGATCCTTACCAATTTATAATAACACTGAACGTCTGAATACTTTTGCGCAAATAAAATGAGAAAAATTGATTTGCTAGATGTATATTAATCTCTGACGGAATTATTTATTAGTCTGTAAACTGTCTTCCAGACTTCAACAGCCGTTTGTTCCTTCAATGTAAATGATTTCCGTCTAAAATATCTGGTTTTAGTAGTATGACCCTTATATAGTGAAGATGATTTTAGAATCATAAACAGGAAATAGTAATTTCCAGTTTCCTCTGGTAAGAAAAAATTTTACGAAGATTTTACCATGTTTGGTGATGGCGGTGATTTAACAAGCTGAACTTTCGCCTAAACATTCCTGTAAAATAAATAATTGATTCTGAGAGTTTCGTTTTTTAAGAGCGTGGCATAAAAATACAGTCGTCAGATAGGTGATAACCCGCCTCTCTATGTTTACATAAATTGATCGTTTCGAAAAAGAAGGAGAATGACGGATATTCTTGATTTAACATTTTAATGAAGTGGTCTGAAAGGTATCAATAAATCATTCAGATTGAGATTACTTTGATAAATTTAGCCATGAGTTACTTTTAAGCTTATAAATGTTTAATACTGTTTTAATTATAGTTCTATAAATCGATCTGGGGACCAATTCGATATTACTTCCCATTTGATAAGTGCTAACATTCTGTGCATCATAAAACAATGATTAGCTGTCCCTCCTAACGATTGAAGAACACTTTTACAGTCATTAGGTCTATCTTGACATCCATTGTTATAATCTGACTCGTTTAACTATTTAAGGAAAGTTATTTTTCCAAATAACTTCATGTTTAGTTGTAACTTCATCATTTAGATTTTCGTATGTGCTTTTTTGAATTTATTTCTGTTTTCTGTTTGACTCTGAATAAGTTTCTTCATCATTCTAATTGGCCGTTTTCCCGTAGCCTATCAAATATTTATTCGCCCTATTTTATTTGCTAGGCTCTATAATTGTAATTCTTTTATCGTGATTTGCGCCCAGTATTTTATCCTGAGGATCATTTTTCTTGGATTGTTCACTGCTGCCTCTAGACGTTTTTCAGTAATGTTTCATAAGGACCATGCTTTCCATGCTATAAGACAATCTGGTTATTATTAGCCGTTCAGTTATCTTAATTTCATCACAAAAGAGAGATTTTATTGATCACACAACGCACGTTCATTATTTTTATATCATCAAGTGGTGCGTCGTTTCTTCAATATCTTGGTTATTCGTTAATAATATTTCCATTTTGCGTTTTTGTTAATCGCCACTGTTATAGTTTTTCATGTGATATGAAGATATCTGTCTTTGTCGGGAAACATTGGAAGCCTTTCAGTATTTTGGTTGCTCCTCGTTTGGGCGGTAATATTTCTGTTTTGTTTATCTGGATCTAGGATAGTTTAAACTGAGTTCAGGCCTTAAATAAATACTTATATACTTACTTCTTGAGTTTTGTTATCATTTTGTCCTTTTATCCAAAGAGTCCACTCTTTATTGATATTGCTCGTTTGTGCCAATCAAAGCTTTAAGTTATATTAGTTTTAGTCATGCTTCATGTTCAGCTGGACCTGATAAATTTACACTTGAGATTTTAAGGATGATTGTCTAGTTTTAACGGTTAGATTGACCGAGATCTAAGGTAGAATCTGGGAACTGGGCGTAACTCCATCTGCCTGGGCTCAACCTCTAATTGTCCCAATTTACAAGAAAGGACAAAAGTCTTCTTGTGACAATCACAGGGGAATAAGTCTAACTAATATAGTTTCTCAATTGTTAGCCTCAATAATACTTTGATCCCTAACAAAAGCTCGTGAAGAGTAGAATAGCGAAAACCAGTCTGTTTTCAGACCTGTACATGGCTTTGTAGACCACATCTTCACACTCAGACAGGTCCTGGAACACAGACACACATTTAGGCGTCCTACAATAGTTGTCTTCCTGGACCTTAAAGCGGCATTCGACTCGGTGGATCGTGAGGTTCTGTGGCAGTGTCTATCATTAAAAGGTGTACCGAAGAAGTACATTAACCTTATACAAGATCTCTACTCGAACACCACTGGTCGAGTTAGAGCTAATGGCCAACTGTCACCGGCATTCTTCACTTCAGGTGGTGTCCGTCAAGGATGTCCACTCTCTCCATTCTTGTTTAATTTTATCATAGACATGCTGCTATATATAACATTATCCTCGCCCTAATTTTCAGGAGTAGTCCTTTTACCAGGTGGCTCGCTTATTGACTTAGAATATGCCGATGACATAGTTCTATTCAGTGAAGACGCTGACAATGTGCAGAGTCTTCTGACCACCTTTAGCAACAATGCAAGCACGTTCGGGATGCGGTTCTCACCCTCAAAATGCAAAATGTTGCTTCAAGACTGGGTTGCATCGGTACCTCAACTAGAGATAGGGAGTGAAGTAGTCGAGCGTGTAGACTGCTTAACGTATCTGGGGAGTCCCATCAGTGCTGATGGCATGGTGACTGACGAAATCTCAGCTCGGATACAGAAGGCTCGATTGGCTTTTGCCAACCTGCGTCAACTATGGCGTAGGCGAAATATCCGTTTGCTGACTAAAGAACGAGTGTACTGTGCAGCAGTTCGATCCGTCCTACTTTACGGATACGAGACTTGGCCGTTAAGAGTAGAGGACTTCCGTAGGTTACTAGTCTTCGATCATCGATGTCTCTGAAGCATTTCTCGTGTATCGAGGGACAACTGAGTAAGCAATGCTGCCATTAGAAAACGAGTACTATGTTAGGATAGCAGGTCAAAAGATGAAGTATTGAAACTTTATCAGTTGAGGTGCTTGGGACATGTGTTACGAATGCCCAACCACCGACTCCCTCTACAAGCTATGTTTTGTGGTGCAGGTTTAGGCTGGAAGAAAGTCAGTTGCGGCCAGACCAAAACATGACAGAAATCCATGAAGTCACTGACAAGTGGAATGAGCCATGTTGGTAGATGTAGGCTACGTGGTTGGGGTCCGCGAGACGAAAGTCACAGATAGTTACAGACCTCCAATTACATGGCTCAAAATCGTTTGCAATAGCACAGGTGCATCTACTCTTTGTGTTCTCTCAAATCCTAATCTTCTGGATTCGTCAACGCCTCTACCTTTGTTTTCATAAACTTATCTCACTGAATTATACTTCTTTAATATCTTGGAACCCTAATCTTCTCTTTTACCAGGAGTACTTCTACTATCTCTACTATTATGGGATTTGAATTGACAATTGCTTCTCTGTGCTAATGTGGTATGGCAACATAAACTGATGTACTTACGTATGAAGTTCTTCGTTGTAACTGACTGACTTACTGACTTTGGTCATGCTTTTGTAATATAAAGATGTTGGCTTTCCTTTGAAATCGGCTACTCTCCAAGACAAATGTTCTTCACTTAGCTCAATTATGGTTCTGTGAAGAGATTCTGATGATAATCTTTCAGCGATAAGTCGCTTTACTATGTATTTTGTTCAATACCTCTTGAAAGGGTAGTGTTTGTTGATCTCCAAGTAACTCTAGTTACCATTCAGGTTTTCGAAAATTTCACGTTCTGTCCACGTTGGCTTTTGCGATGCCGATAATGAAGTTATCATAAAAAAGGCAACAAAAATATTTTCCTACCTCCTTGGCTGCACTCAAAATATATCATTGCCTCTGTCATCAAATCGTGATTGTCTTGTTTTACGAAATTGTTTGGACTATGTCTTACTGGATTTTTTGCAGGCCCCAGGCGTGGGTCTTGTATAAATATCATGAATTACTACATGATGCTCACTATTAATTTTTCTCTAAGTATTCAGTTACTTTTCAGTCAATTTATCGTAATACCATAATGAAATATAACTTAAAACAGGTTTGAAGTATAAGGGGAAAAAATTGACTACTCATTATCGAATGAATACAATGGCCAAAAATGCCTATATTCATACAATCCAAGAAATAAATGTTTAAGAGAAGGTTGTAGGATTTATACTACCTTAACTAAGAGGCTAATTAAAACAAACGAGAAAAACCTTATAGTGTTTGTTTATTCATAAGAAGTAAGATAAACGATATATGGAATCATTCTGCGATATATTGTGCAATTAAATACAGACAGTGAATGTTTTTTAATCACCTAATAGTGGTTGGTTATAACACATTATATAAGTCAAAACTAGTATAATAGGATTTTATCAGGAAAAACTAAGGAACAATGACTTCAATACGGTAATCTGTCGTATTTTCCGCCGACAGTAAAGAGCACATATTGATCATCTCAGCTGTGTTTTGGTGAATACTTGTTATGGTTTTTTGTATTCTCAATAACTTTTCACTGTCAGTTCATCCCTTAATGTGTGGCCAAACGTTTGGTTTGTAAAATCAGTAATGCTTAAGCCGTAGAGTCAAGTCACCGCCTTGGTTTTCCTAAGTTGTTTCTATTGTGTCAGTCAAAATAAACTGATTTATTTTTGGCTTCGTTTAGTGCTAGTAAGAACAAACCGTAATAAAATAGGTAATTTGCTTATATCTAGCCTAATTTTCATTAGCTCGCGCAGACTGTTTATTGAGTTACAATGACCTTAGGCTAAACAATGATACAGTAAGTGTGAGATAACAGCGGAGTGTACCACTAAAGATTTCTGGTCAAGAATGCAGTTTCCCACACTCGATTACGAACAGCCAGAATAGAGAACAGCTCAACAAGCAGACAATGCCTCATCATAAAGTTAGAATTCGTGAACCACAATAGTATATAGCAAACTCCTTAGCCCAAATCAACGGAATTAAAAAATTTCAACACGGGTATTACTACATCGTAAGTGTTAGAGGATTAAGTGCTAGGTTAGCAGTAAATTAGAAATCATTTTGAGACGGCAGAACACGCAACAATAATTTCTATGTCAAACAAAAGCTTACAAGCAGGATAATGTGAGAATATCATAGTTTGATTACTTGATAATTTTACAGTAAAAGTATAATCAGTAACTTCAGATAAGACCGTTCCGAAAGTGTGTTTGAGCTTGATATTTAACACGAAATAACAGTTTAACTGAGTGAATAGGCTTCAAAAGTATTTGACTCATAATAATAGTAGAATGTTACATTAGTATTCTAAACTTTAATAAGATATAACCCGAGATTATTTTAGTAGTGAAACTTTAACCTACCAAGACAACAAATCCCTTGATAACTGAGGTAATTAAACACGATTGATATTCTTTTTCATTTAAAAAATCTGAGGATTCGTAAGGGTGGTAACTAAGTTCAAAGTTCCAAAACTTATTTCATTCTTTGATATTGATAAACGTTGATGATTTTCCGATTTCACGCAATCCAGTTAAATCTATCAAGTAAAACCCTTGTTATCATTTCATTTTACAGAAAGAATGGACCCGAGCAGTTCTTGTTTTACATAGAGACCCGAAAAATACTGTCATCATGGCTGATTTACAGGATACGGAATATGAAACGCTAGATCTACCTGATACAAAAATAATCATTCCACTAAATTCTTTCAGAGTTTGTCGAAAACATATTCTTTCTGGTCATACATCACAATCTCATGAAAATAGTTATCCTAGTCAGAAGCATTCTTCGAACAATGTTAAAAGTGCCATTCCATGTAACCAAATTCACTTAAGTTCACGGTTTATATTTGGTAAAAAGCAGCTATGGCTGGGCTTTACCTCTCTTTTTGATCAAGATATATGGTATTCAGCTTTGAAAACTTTGATTACAAAGCATAGAATTAAGAAAAATTCATTAAATACTCCTGATATACTACGAGCATCTTCATTAAGTTTGTCCCAAACATCAGAGTTGGATTTACTTGCCTCAGCTCTGCCGAATATTTTAGACAACGAAATATACGAAAGTACTTCTACTCAAGGTAAATGATACTTATACGTTGATTTTTTTAAAATTCCTTATGAAAACTCACATAACTTCAAAATGATTGAGGAGTGATTTTGCAATAACTAGTCAATCTTTGGTTTGTTTATTTGGTGTATAACCTAACAAACTCTTTCAATTTCGTAAATAAGATAAATTTTAAATTGCATTACAATAGGATCATTTCTGTAAAGTTACATATTAATTTAGGTGTACCGTTAAGTGAACAGTTATTGTTTTTGATTATAAAAATACAGCTAACTCTATTCACCGACTAAGTTTGAAAAATTATGTCCATTTGATTACAAGTTGATGATTTATCGGCAACATATATGCCAAAGGATTTGAAAATAGTTAATTTTAAAAATCTCAACAATGTATATATCAAAATATATGCATCAAATGCATTCCAATTGTAATTAATAATTTTTCTGTGTGATAATAAAAAATGCTGCAATAACTAGTTTTCCTTAAAATGTTTCTATGACGAGGGTTCCTTTCATTTTTAGATTCTTTTAAGAATTCGTTGACAATAAGATTCAGGTTGAGAAAATGTATTTTAGTATAATATTATATTGAATGCATTCCTTTTAAAGAAAAACTTTGTGCTGAATTTTATATGTAAATTAAAAAATATGATCATTAAAAAAATTATAGCAGCATATTTGAGATGACAATTACAACAAGATTACCAAGTTTTAATAATTCAACCGCAATGGTGAAATTCGTTTCCTAGAAAAACATATCGCCTATCTTTTATGAACGCTTCATTTAGAAGCATTGAACTAAGAATTTCCAGTTCTCTACTGAATTAGTAAATGAACTTGCACTTCTGTATGGTAAGAACATGCCTGAATTGAATAATTCAATTCACCAGTTCATTGTTTCTAGTTAAACACAAAATGTCCTCTATATTCTCATTAAAATCAAATCATTATTTCGATACGTGGTAATGTCTTCGGTAATTGATTTATATCATGTAGTTTGATGTAATGTATGAAAACTGAGTTTCTTGAGATTAAACTAATATTCAGTTTTATATTTCTGTGAAACTGTTTTAATTATGCTTTCAGTTTGGATTGCAAGAGTTCATTACAAAGAAACATCTGTTTTCTGAAATAAAAAAGGATAAACGCTACGCTGAATGAGTACTTTAACATATACTTACGAATATAATTAACACCATTTATGATCGTAACAAGCTGATTTTCAAGATATCAGACATTGTGGCAAAATAAGTTTTGTGAGATTAATAGCATTCAACTTAAAAATTAATGATTACAAAAACTAAGGTCTCAGATATAAATAGTGTATTTTCACTCGTGAATGTCTCGAGTCCTTCAGTCATATTTAGAATGATATTGGTGTACAAAAGTCTATTTTTTAAATATATTCAATTCCAGATGACCATAGGATCAACTAACTGCTACAGTGAACTAAAAGATTTAATTAAAATTCAGGTATGAGTTATTTCTGAAAATTCCTTGTTCATTCATCCATAACATACAATATAAAAATGTGGAATGAAACTTGGCCACTAATGAGTTAGAGTTTGATGAAAAGATATTAGATTTTATTAGAATTTTAAAATATGCAGCATAAAGTGCTTTTCTCATGCCAATAAGTGATGCGTCAGTCAATCGACTAATTTCAAAAATAGGGATGATCAATAACGGGTTTAAAGATATCCATTAAATTTTCCTGGTTAAATATGATAATAACGTTTTATTCTTTACTATGAATTCATTTGTTTTTGATTTTATATTGACTGTTAGATACATTCTCCGTCTACGTAATTCATACAGAAAAATCCAAAGATTTAGGGTTGTCTGGTCGTTACTTGCTACGTATAAAAGAAAATGCATTCGAGCTGCTTGATCCAGATACACATTCAATTGTAAAAGTATGGCCGATCAAATTTGCGCGCAAGTAAGTACATCCAATTTGATGAGTACGATAATGACTCATGTTTATAATTTATTTTAAAAGTATGTGAAGAATGAATTAATATGAAGAAAGCCATCGCCAAGAATTCAGGATAAATAAAAAATTACTGACTGTTATATGCTAATTAGGAATCCCTCGACAACTTACAATTTCTGTTTGTAGCATACCTCAGAACCTTCTGTTTTTTAAATTAGTACTCAGTCATTACTGATAATAAAAAACTATAGGAATGAGAAAATACTTATTGCTAATAAACTTTGGAGCAGTCTAAAAAATTCTGAAACTTATTATTGCTTATGTTCTAGGTATGAAATGCTTATTGAATGACAGATTTAGTTAAATGCAAATCTTGGATGAAGTTTGAAACCTATTAGTGATTTTGATATATTCTGTTGGCTCTGAATGACACTCAGAGTAGTCATTTCTATTTGTAAGTATTAGAATTAGGTACTGAACTTTCTGATTGTTCAGTCTGAGGGTTTTAGTTTTTGTTTAAGGAGATCATGTATATAGCACAAAAAAGGAGATTACAACTGACCTTCTACCAGATACTTTTGAAAGGTTAGTGGATGGTTGACTGATTTTTAATGCAAAATGATATGTCTTTAAATGTGAATCGTAAACACCAAAACAATGTTATTAGAGGTGGATAGCAGCTAGCTAATAACGCTCTTTATATAAAGGCGATATCGAGGCAGTTCGCACAGGATGCACATATTCGAAAGAGACTGATCGATTGTAGTCCTAAACATCAATGAGAAGATCCAAAAAACCAATATAAATAAATTAATCAAAGCGTTAGCCTAATTATACCTTAAAATAACCTTTCTCGATCTGATACAAACACCGGAAAACTTCAACCAGCCAGTCAGTGAAGTTCATGCAATACTTGCACATTGAGATATAAAACTTTCCGCATATACTTCTACTTAAGATAACGGGTTGATGAGAAGTACTGGACTAAGTGATGGTGATTTATTAGTCTACATAAAGAGTTAATTGTTTACACTTTTTATTAGGACTAGTCAAACCACATATATTATCATAAGGGTTTGTTTCCATCTTCTAAAAGACAAGTTTAGGATTATGAAACAGTAAAAAACGTAACTATTTCGAAAAAGTACATCATGAATAACAAGCGACTTCAAATTATATATGTATTGTTTACGATAAACTAATGTAACGAATGTTTAATCTAAAAGGGTATAAATATATATTTCTTATCTAAAAAAAATTATGAATAGAAACCTAAAGTTGAATGATGACTTGTTTAATTCCTGGTATTAATGAAAGAGTTACTGATCAGTTATGATCTCCATTTCGTTTTTTGGTATTTGTTTATCATTATGGCTTGCTAACTACTAATCAGTGGAGTGAAAGTGTTCGCAACTAATGAGAAATTAGTGAAATAAAATGATCTCATGCTGTTATGATCGTTTTGCTGTACTGAAAAGGTAGGGTGCGCACGATCGTAATTTGTTCAAAAATGCTTTCTAGTTATGAACCATTTACGATAATTTTTTAAATCTCAAAACTAGTGAGTATATCCTTTATTCAATTTTTCCTCCAGTTGATAGAGTTACTTCTAGAAATAACATCTTGAAAATAAGCTTTTTAACCTCCAAAGTAAAATTTAAATAATGATGTTAAAATACAAGTTAATCAATCTTAATTTTAACTAGCATAGATATAATGAATTCTGTTATAAGCTGATAGGTTGAAATACTTTACTTGAAATAACATGAATGAATTGCAGGTGATAAACTTTTCATTTTTTATCAAATCATCCACCAAAAACTTTGATCTCGTAATATTGGTCAATCACTTATTTTTATTATTTGTTTAAGTACTACAGTTTTAGATGAACTTTTTCAATCATTTTTTTCATTTTGTATACTCAAGAAAAGAAGTTAGCTCGTAGTAGTTTAAAGTAAAAAAAAATTTCTACATTCATTTAATTGTCTGAATTTTCGGCACTTTGCACAGACTGAAGAAATGTTTGTTTGAATGAACTGCAAAATTTAAGCCAAAGTTGAGTATTCATCTTTAACTAAGAATGAATAACGAGTTCAAATTATCATCAAGGCAGTTTTATTTATTTCTGTATAAATCATGCCAACATTGTTGGTGTTCTAATTATTGTAAATCATTAGAAATTGCTAATCACTAAAATGTTATGAATTTATTTATTGAACTTAATTATGTACACCATTTGTTCTGCAGTTTGATACATTATGTTCAAGCAACTTATTTGTCTAATTATTCTTTGTATTTTATATGAGTCATATGCATTTCATTATTTATCTCTGTCTACTAAGTGAAAACAAAAAGAAAGAATAATAAATTATTTTGCTTATCGATCTGGCCCAATTATGTAATTGTGTATGCCCGAGTCGGTGTGACGGGTGAAAATAAACAAACAGATCACTTTGTTTATACATAATTAAAGAGTTGGTCTCATGTAACTGAAACATTTATACATTACACATACACACATACACACAAAGTTATATGTACACATATTCATTTCTTCAACATTCTGCTCTTGATTTTTTGCTAATAATCTGTTTCATGTTAAAATAACAATTGATAAAATACCAATGTAAATTCAGAAGTAAGATAAGGTTTATGCAAATGTAAATCATACGTAACAAGAGAATTAAAGAATTATATTTCCTCCTCTTTATGACTTGTCTTTTATGTTTACTTTCATCCTGGTATCATGTTATTTTCACATAGGATCAAAACTCAGTCTCCTTAAGAGTCTAAGCTGTAGCCCTTGGGTTAGCGAGTTACCAAAGATGCAGTAACTGAGGGAAATTACTGTTTTCAGATAAAAAAAAATTCAATATCAAACATTTGATTGTCAATTTTGAGAGATTGTTTGAAAATACGAACCAATAAACTCGATTTCAGTATACATGTATATTAGCAAAATGGCTTCAATGATCTACTTGTATTTCCTAGTCTAACAACGAATGAATCTGGTAAAGATAATGATATGATTATAAACTTCTGTCATTATGGTAAATTGATTTAATTAAAAGCCGTCTAGAGCTCGTTGTTAACAAAAGTTAGACCTACTATGATATCATTTTGAGGTAGTCATCTAGTGGCCATATTCCTAAGCTATATCCTTTTATGTTTCATCATGATGTCAAATTCGGATAGACTACTATTAGTTATGTCACTTTCAGAACAGTAATAGCAGTAGATTTATGCAACATGCAATAAACCTGGTAACTATCAGTAGGTCAATCTTAATATTTATAAACATATTCTAAATAAACTTAAAGGTTAAATTCGCCAGCTATAAAAAACGTTTTCGAGACTCTAAAGTTATGACCGTGAAAAATTATTTATGAGGAGTAGCTTAAGTAAATGTTTGCAGATTTCATTGTCAAAATTTCGAACTCCATAATATACTGCTACATTATTGCCAGCAAAATGATCATATTACTCTAAATACTAGAGACAGTAGTCATTAATTTCCCTGTGTTTGTTCTCACTTAAATGTCATCCACACAAAGATGGCTATTAAAAATCGTTTAACTGTTATTTATAATAAAGTTAATCAGATAAAAAGAATTAGAAAGCATTATCTTCACAATTGATGCAAATGAAATATCAAATCTATCCGAACAGTCCGACGTAGCTATTTCATATACATAATGAATATCCTTCTTTTCAAAAATAACACTTAAAGAAAACCAGCTGTACCTTTGTTTACTGGTTAATCGACATTGTATCTACCTGTTGTGAATAAAAAAGCATTTATTACCAGTATTAACAAAAACAGTTATTGAAATTAGATAACAGCAATCAAATGTATTGTTCATTATTAACTAAATGTCCTCGTTTTAAATTTTATGCATTTGAAATCTTTCTTGAAATAGAAAGTAAGACTAATGTTTGGTCTTTATGGTTTCAAATATATACAGGTTCGGTGTATATACCAAACGATTTTATTTAATAACTGGAAGTGGATGTGAAGATGGTCGTGGATTGTTCATCTTTCTAATTGAGAATGCTGATAAATTTCAATCAAGACTATTTCGTCAAATAAAACAATTAACTATCCAATCGCAGTTATCTAGACGTGTTACCGATTCTAGTAAGTGGATTATAGAACAAGAAATAAAAAAGCAATCTAATGAGTTCTATTTAAATGAAACAAATAATTGTTGGTTTTCTTCAGAACCGAGAAAAAAGAAAAATATTCTCACATCTCTTAACTCCATTGATCCATTGTTGACAACTAAACCCCGTTCCAGTTCTGTTAATGAATTCTTATTGCAAAAAACAGAATCAAATAATTTTCGTCAGAAGCAAAATTCTTCAAATATGTTACCGAAAGAAATCTCTGTTTCATTAGCTTATGATAGTGATGCAAAATCTTCGTCATCATCATGGATATTTCCAGATGAAAATTATAAAATAATTTCTGGCCGATGTTTCACTGAACGTTCATGTCAAACTGTATCTGAAGCCAATCTACCAGAGCATCTAAAACACTCTAGCAATAAAAATTCACCACATATAATTGTAGCAAGACAAAAAATGCAAGAAAAAAATACAATTCATAATAGTTACGGTTCTCAAGAAACATTTATTTCAGATACACTATGTGAACATGAAGACAATAATGTGTGTATAGATAAACAAGAGGAAGAAGAAGATAACATAAGTGAAACTTCACAACCGGTTTATGCTAATGCTGAACAAATCACAAACACAATGTTGAACACAAAATTCCTGACAAAGAATGGATTCAATAAGGATGAAACAGACGTAACATCTTGGTATGTTTTTATGCATTCTGGTGTAAATTAATTTTTAGGTGATAGATTTTAGATGGTAAACGTAACTGTAATAACCGACAACTACGTTATTTGGTCTACTTTTTAAGTCTTCAGTAGTATTTAGTATAAGTATATTCTAAGATAATAGCCAGGAGCTAAGAATCTTTATTCACGGAATAAAAAAATAAATTGACGTGCCTTAAATGTAAAAAATTCTTTGTATTTAAAAATATTCATGTAGTAATACAATACAATGTCGGATTATATTAAAATCTACACATAATGTATTGTAAATCTGTGTAGTGGTAAACTCGGTCTAGTAATAATATTGTAATTTGTGATTCTTTGTTCACTTCATAAACAGTTAGTACCAATGTTGCTTAAAAAGTGCTAGTTATAACCTGGTCAATTATACATAACATACAAATCTATTCAATATGTAGCAATAAAGTTCAAACGACTATTATGATTCTTTCTATGTTACTACGTTGGGCTTGAAATCCTAATTATGTTTAAGTTCGTAAGAAGAATAGTTTTTCATTTTGTTTAGTGCTTATGCACTACCCATGGAATCGTGTATAATCCCGCAAAAATGGATAAATAAGTTTTTAGAGCTGAACGATTTAAGGGTTGACGAATAGAACTCAATGAAGTCAGATCATACACACGAAGTTTAATTTTTTGCATCAAAGCATTATGTTTTTTGATATTGTTGTCAAATAAATGACTTGATAATTTTGACAACTAGAATATTTTAATCCTAAGCATAGCTATTCAGTTTATTAAGAAAAAGATATCTTGTTGGCTGTTTCCCTGAATACCATTTTAAATCTTACATGTAGCTATTTATATTATTGCGAAAGCTTCTCTTACTGTCTTTACTACTGTCTTAAAAATGAATGTTATCAGTATGATAATCTTCACTACCTTTCGTTAACCTGTTGTCATGGTTTTATTCCGTTTGTTACCACCAATACACAAAACGTTTTTGGACCCCACGAATTTATTCACTGTCAACTTTTTAATGTTTAGCATTTACAAGTAATGTTATGTAAAATCAAGCAAACTATTTTATGCAAATTAGACTAATAATAAATTATATGAATAAATCTTAAAACATACAGTGAATATTGATTAAGGTATTCACTAGTGGAAAAAAAATCTAGTAGAACACTTACTTTGCAATTCGAGACTTTGATTTGACTTCGGTAGTTAACAGGGTGGTGATATTATTCATAACTGTTGATTGAAGCTTACCTCCTAGTTTTATATCACACACATATAAATACTTATAGAAACATACAACTAAATCCCTTTGTTAACTTAATGTATTGGTTATTTATACAATTGTGTAGTTAATTATTTATTCATTTGTTTCTTTCTATTGTTCTTAATATTTAGTCACTGATGATGAATCAGTATTTATGCTATAGAGAATAATGCAGTACAGAAGGTTTAGTTTTATTTGGAAAATATTTTGCTTGATAATTTGAGTGATATTGTGCTGTATTGGAAATCTGGTTATTCATGTAACCGGTACAACTTCAAACTAATTCATCTTTGACAGTATTGAATATTCTGGCCATTTAATGTATTTAATAGTATTCAAATGACGAATTTGAAAGAATGCATTAGCGTACATCGAAACATCTGTTGTAGGTATTGAAATTTACCGATGCCTAACACTAGAACTCCAGACACAAATTTGAAATCGTTAGTGCTTCGTCGATTAAAAGTATTTTGATTTTATAGTGAACTGTTCCTAAATGTTTTTCAGCAGATGCCTAAACCTAAGTGAAAATTACTGATTAGTTTCTGAGAAAGATGTTTACTTTTCCATTAAAATGAAGTTAGCTGAACCTTCATCTCACAACTAAAAACAAATAATCTGTATTGTTAACTTATTGTTAACTATAAAGCTTTATTATGATTGATAAACTGTTAAACAGTCTTTATTCAATGATTGAATAATCAGTATATAGCGTAAAATACATCTAAATATTCATCTGTCTTAATAGATTTTCCGATAAGATTTTAAAATAAAAAGTACTACGCTATCGAATCTGCTTTATTTTTGGAAAGTTTATTACATTGACTGTTGTGATAACTTAGCAGTTACAATATGCTTTTCATAAAAAACTAACTGTTTTTAATTAACATATGTTGATACAGTGATCTTTTAAGTCTTTGTTTAACGATGTTGAAAATTTTTTTCTTATACAAAATATAAATCTGAAAATTCTTTATTTAGAGCAGTATACAGATAAAGTGCATTAAATGGTATTACTGTTTTAGGATTTTCTAGTCCAGTTTTGCATACTTCCTATTATAGTTTATGCTCTGTACTATTTAGTAAACGAAAATCATATGACTACTATGTTTTCTTCACGTTTAACATACTCTCGAAATCATCAGTGTATTAATGAAGATTGTTTGGTCTCTTCTTAAGTTTACTTTCTCATATATATTGTAAAACAGGAGAAGAGGTGAGAAACAGAAATTTTAAAACTACAAAAACTAGCTGAAACTATTACAACGCATAATTTGTTCAGTTTCGGGTTACTGAAAAATTTATTCCCAGATGTATGAGAACGTTTTACAGTTTTACCATACTTATTAAATTTTGAATTACATAATTTAAACAAACACTCTGTTTAAACATGTCACAAGAACAAACTAGACTTTTATAAACAGCTGCTGATTGATTTTTAGGTTAAAACATGAAAATGATTCAAATAAAACATTCTTTATATAAACAGTATCTGCGGTTCCGTAAAGAAATCAATAAATACATACAATGGTTGAGCAAATTAGAAATTTATCTTTCACAACTATGTCTGGATTCATTCTTGCTTAAAGATAAATAATACTTGAGTATTTGAGATAAAAAGTCTAAATACTTAGTTATTCATCGTTGATAGTATCTCTAGAAAGTATGTAAAATGTAACTAGTTTTTTTAAACCTCTTTGCAGTTAGAAAAAATATATGCTAGTGACGGATAGGGCTCTTTCAGAATAATCAAATAATCGGAAAGCACGTTTAATGATTCTTCTGAAAATGAAATTTTTAGAATAAGAATAACGAAAGTGAGAGTTAGGAACAGGGAAAATTATCTATCGGAATTACATAAATTAATATGACTATTTGGATTCTGTAATGAGCAAATAAATGTAATTTAAGAAAGTTCAAGTATGAAAATGTGTTATAGGATAAGGCGATAGAAGACATGCGACTCACATTAGGTAAGAGTTTAAGCAGACGATATAAGTCTTCAAACAGAGCTTTTCACTGGACAACTGATACTTAACTGCAAGACGTAAAAGCATTGGAAATTCTATTACTAAGGTCATTATTACGATAACAACGGGTGAAACGAAACTGAAGTAATACAAATTTAATAAATTTTACATAATAATATTAAAACTAAGAGTATTTTCGTGGTTTATTTGTCCTTTTTACGTATCGATCATACATTACTATCCATTTAATTTACATTTACAGAATACCTTATTTATTTTCTTAAATTTTACACTTATTTAAAGCTCATTAAATGTGAAATCTTCAGCGACAACACTAAGTGATGCATCAACTCTGTCAACATCATCATCATCTCTTTTAGTTAATAAACCAGTTAATACCTCATGTTCATATACGAAAAATTGGAAACTTGGTTATTTAATTGAACCAATAATAGAGAAAGAAGAACAAAATTCGCACAACTCATCAATATCCATTGGTAATGAAGAATGTAATACAGCTTATAAAGAAGAATGTGATGGTTTGGTCACTTCATCAACGCCAGATAATGATATAGACATAAAGGAAATGAGTAATACTTGCTATAGTAAATCACCAAATGATGAATCAGGAAATACAGATGATGAAAATGAATCAGTTGGTGAAAAAACTCAATTAACCAAAGAATTTCAAAATATTTTAGAAGACGTAAAATTTTATCGATTAGTTTCAAGATCAGCTACTTGGGACGGATGGATGAAATTGAAGTCAACCACAAAACAAGAAACTACATCACAGAAAGTTACTCTAAAAACAAATACTAACACTGAAATAGATAGTAATGATCAAAATGATAGTCCTGAACTTAAAGATAATTCACATGTTGTTGTGATGACAGCATTTTGAAATGAATAATGGAAGTGTAATTGATAATGAGTAAACACTCTGATTTTTCTCATTATTTCTAACTTTTCAACTATATAATGATTTATATAAAAAAGCTTACTTGTGAAAGAAAGATTTTTCATTTCGTTACAGATACTCTCATCTGATCTGCAGTTGTATACAGGATGAAAATAATTTCCCGGGAATTCATTGGTATATAATTCAATTTATATGACATTTTTTTAAAAAATCTTTTGTTGGAAGCAAAATTTTGAAATTAATGATAAATTAAAAAGAATGTTTGTTATTATCATTAGGAGTTATTCAATACAAAATAATGATGATTAAAATCAAGTGAAAATATATTTCCTAACATTTCGTTTACTGTATGTAAAGTGAGACTCTAGATTCCTTTCAACAGCTTCGATCGTCAGAATTCCGTTAATGTTTTCTAAGGAGTTTACTTCCTTTTTATTTATCCTTGTTTTGATTTCATGGGTATCTCATTCATCCTTTGTAACTTCTTACAGAACGTTGTTTGATGTGTAACTTTTAGACAAAGTAATTTTTAAACTTGAGACAAACTACTGGCAAAAATGTGGAAATAGAGAAAATCATAGAGTAATGTAAAAGTTCCGTTTCTACACTATGAAATGAAGTGGAGAAGGAATTTTATAACAAAAGATAAACGAAACCCCCAAACTGCTGACATGAATTTTGTTATGATATTTTGTTAAATTTCAAAATCATCAGTTTTTTATACGTTATTGTTTAAAACAAAAGTGTTAGCAAAAAAAACAACCAAGCATTTCTTAATGTGCTCTGCATGGATAATTGAAGTTACTTTGAAAACATTCAATGAATAGTACCCAGCTAGTAGTCTTATAACGTATCATTTTTGTTCAGAAACTTTGTAAGGACTACGAAAGTACAGGAATAATTTCAAAAAGTTTGTTACTAGATATTACCTGTCAAATAGTTTAAACAGTTGTAAAACTCAAAGAATACTAGTCTTCTGTCAACAATTATATTTCATCTTGTATTTTCAATTTAAACACGACAGGTGCAACAACCAAAATAAGGGAAGGACAGGTATTTTTTTATCTCACTTAAGTATCTGGTAGAACTACGTTTCCAAGTTATTCATGAAGTTTTTCTAAGGATAAAACAACGTAAATTGGAATTCATGAAGCTACAGAAAATAAACATACTTTAAAATGAGGAGTAATTATGATAATTGTTTTTTCAATAATATGATGTTATCAAAAATGTTTCCGCTTAACTCTTTGCTCTAACTATGCCAGTTACATCACATCATCTGTTTTATTACTGATATATGTGATTTTATCGTTTTGTAAATAAAATGAATCACTGTTCTATACATTTGTCGAAACTACCGAGTTAGTTTATACAAAAATGTTGTATTCTGTGTTATCTAACAATATTTCTAGATGACATGTGATTCGGATATTATTCTTACAAGAATCTGGATTACGCAAATCAGATCAATTGAATAACCAAAACACTAAAACACTACAGCGTTATTTGTTTACTGACGAATAAGTTAGAGAAAGAAGACTAGACATTCAGGAGACTTTCATCATTCCCAACAGAATTCAAAAATATAATTCATTTATTAGATCTACACAGTTATCAAGAAAAACTTCACGAATTCGTACAGAAATGGCAAAGTGAAAAAAAGAAGCTGCTAATTAGATAAATAGGGAAGTCAGTGTAGAAATATAAATCAAAAATTATTGAAGATTTGACTATTTTTCATACCTGTAATTTACTAATGAGGGAAAAGGCTGAACGATTTTAATCCTTCATGTTGGAAAACTCCACATTCCTTATTGGATTTTCTAAAAGATACACTCAAATTTAGTCCTAATATAGTACTTTTGCAAAACTAATATCCTACACTATTATTCATCTTTCATGATAAACGAACTATACCATTAGGATTTAAATTATTTATCATCTCTTGTGAATATCTTTCAGCTAACTATTATTTAGGACCTTTTGAAAACTAAATGTCATATGTCTACAAATAAAAGTTCAATGACATATTCAGTTGAAGCATTTGAGATTTGTAAGTTACTTTGATTACAAAAGTCTGCTGATGCACATATTAAATTACTCAAACAAAATTACACAATATGGTTCCCGTTTCCCAAATGAATAGATTAACTGAAATCTGAACCTGAATTATATTTTATTAAAAAGTTGATGTAGCAGTAACCAACTACACTAATTTATGTTCAGAGTGAAGCAGTTCTTTCGATCACTAAATAAAATATGGGCTACATAACATTGTGACTGATAGCAAAAGGGTAAGAATAAAAATAAAATTCTTCACATTACAATATACTACTTACAAGTAGAATATTTCTTACTGTTGTAATCTGCCTTGTTAGTCTTATGTTTGATTCATTGGACAATAAGTGATATTTAGCAATCTTCGTGGTCATATTGTAATTAGTGATCAATGAAGTTAGGCAAGCTTTCGAAAAATTCAATAAAGTTAGTGATAACTTTATAGCCTCATTAGTTGCTACCTTGATTAGATTCAAATATTCAAAAACTTACCTTGACGTCTTCAGATTTCTTTGGATATTTAACAATGTATCTTTTTTATTTGGATTTGGTTACGATCCCTCAGCTCTTCAGTCCAGTCCCGATAATATTATTGACTTACCATATAATATCATTATGGTCTTCAGAAAAAAGTGGCCAGTCGTATGAAAAGTTCTCAGAATCATTCATCTGGAATTTTCGGAGACGAGGGATCATTGGGATTCATATGTGCTTTCCTCAATCATTTCTAGAGGTTTACAATTATGCAGTGAAAGTAAAATATTTCCGTTTGTTACGGACGTCGCTAGCACGAGAAATAACTAGATAGCTTTTGTACGACTGCTTAATCTGTGTGTCGTAAAGTAAATTCTTTTTCTCGAACGTTTGATACCATGAACGACACAGATCTCTTGAAATATGGATAAACCACTGGCATAATTTTATGTTTCTCGTTCCATTTGCCTAATCTAGTGTTGAAACTATTTTTTAGTGGTCGACCATCCGTTTCTTTGAAACTTATTGATGGCTGATAGTTCATCTTGGATTTATTTTTCAACAGGACATTTGTCCAATGATTTGCTGTATTTACAAGAATTAGGTTCTTCAAAATGTGTCATACATTTTGGCTTCTATTCTCAGAAATAACGACCAGAAAGATAATAAAGGATTTTTATGAAGGTCAAAGAATTCTTCATTAGGTCAACCAAAATGCAGCAAAATCTCACTCAACGAAACGTTTTTATCAAACTAAACTCATCAAGGTTATTTGCACATTTAATTTCAGAATCTATAACTTATTTGCGCTCTTAGTCAATCTATCAACACCGCATTTTAGAAACATATTACCAGAATATTTTGTTCATTTAGGCGAATGATTAATTATTATTTTTTTAGTCACAACAATGTACAAATTAGTCTTGGCAATAAAAATGAGTGTATGGGATCCACAACTAGTGAACTGTGATCAACTCATCATAGTGCATTTTACTATTTTAGTTTGTATGCGAAATTTCTGAGCGACCATGCAACTATATAATCACACTGTCTATCAAAGTTATTTCCTTTATAATCAGTCTATTCAGCGTAGTAATACAGAATGTTGATGAGTAATTTATGTTAAGAATTACTCCATAGTTTGGAGAATGTGGAAACCAAGTTGTTATTGATCAGATTCATAGTAAAGAAAGTTTTTTAATTACTAGTTTGTATACGTTTGGATCTCTCTTTGAATTTGTTTAATTAACTAATTATTGACCGACAACAGTTTACAAACTTCAGAAATGTTTTAATTTCTAAATGTAGGAGCAGAATATTAAAATTTATCTTACTGATACAGCTTAACGATTTGTTGATGGATTTCTCCAGTTATAATTTGCACTGATTTGTTGTATGCTACTATGTAACGAATAATTATACTTATTACCGTAAGTATGAACCGTTCTTTATTATCTTTGTCTGTTGAGAATATACTAGATGAATATGTACCATTGAGTTCTTATTCTGAATAACAATGATTTATCGACATGGCCAGTGTTCAATAATTATAAGTGTAGACAAGCACTAAACGTTATGAGTGTGACACAGAGTTACTGTGCCGCTTTAGGAAACCTATTTGTTACTAAGTGAGAGTACAATTAAAGCATATATATTACTGCACAGACTCCATATGATCATGCTATGTTATAAAAAGGCGGAGAATTAATCAATAGGTCTTATTTATTCTGTGAATTTCTCTAAAGTAATAGTATTTGTCTTTTTATTGTCATCTAATATACTGCTCAATAAAAAATTGAAATTCTAATGAATGGTTAATAAAACATATTTTCAAAATTTTTGATTATACTTTTATTCAAATGAGACATATATGATGATTTTGTTTCAAGTACTTTCAGTATGTAATAAAAAAAACATGAAATATAGTTATCGGTAGCAGCTGCAAACTAATTTATTGTTCAGTTCATGCAATTTAATCAATTCCATCTAAATCGATCAAACTCAAATAATTAGAAGTAATGGTAATGCTACTAATTCGAATACCGATTTCATTCCCACTCATCTAATGGTTACTTAATTCTAGACAGTGATCATTAAGATCTGCTAATTAGTGACATGTCAAAGTATTATTTATACCATGAGGTATTTTATGACAAACAGATGTGGTCTTGTGTAGTTTTCAAAAGTTCTCAATAACATTACAAGTTACTGTTGAACTGGATTATTTTACAAGGAAAAATTAATTTTTAAGATAACAATCACATCATCTATAATTTTTAATTAGATTGCTTATTCATTGGTATGATTCGACCCAAGATTATGCAACAGTTTTGAAATAATCAAACCAGAATGATATCATGTGTATATGACTCTATATACAAACAGTTGTTTATACGGACATAATATGTACCAAATATATGACAGTGATATCTATTGTGTAGTTAGCTTTC